TTAGATATGCTCGGATGTAAAATTCTAGAAATGAAATATGTGATACCAGAGACCAAAGCCAATCCCAAATCCAGCAAGCCAGGTGGTGTTGCTGGCCTAGCCCAGCTCTGCCACCCGTAGGAAGTGCATCAAAGGGATTAAAGAGATTGAAACAAATAAATGCACCTCTTATTTAGCATGTCAATCACCACCGAGTTGTGCCCTTAGCTATTCTTAATTTGAGAGTTTCTATATGAATTTGATGAAAAAAAATAGAAATGTACCATAGCCACTGGGCCAATGTTGAGAAAGATGAAGAATTGTTAATTGTACTCCTGCAACCACGACCTTCACCTTTACCTCTCCCTCAAGATGCGTTGTTCCTAAAGTTGTGCCCGTCATCTCTGTTTTTATTCTGGTCGATAGAGTAATCCCTCTCTTTTCCCTCTCCGATCTGCGCTGTGTGAAGCGCGGCTTCCAGAAGAAGCCTTCGACAATACCCCTCCTAGAATCCATCACAATTCCTCCTTTGTCGCCGATGCTCGACTGCCGCTGTGTCGTCACTGCAACCCATCTGATTGAAAAGTCAATCTCCCTTAGTTATCTCGCTATGTCTGGTTGCCTGGGATGTGCTTTAGGTTTATCTCCGTGTACTCCAAAATGGCGTGCGAAATCCCAGACCAAAATCACAAGTACTCCAAAGCTTCTCTCGTGTGAAATCCCAGACCAAAATTTCGGGCTTTCAAAAGAAACCCTAGAAACCCGGAAGATGGGTGAGTATGCAAGAAGCAAAGCTTCTCCAGAACTCTAGTACATCTACAGTGAGTGAGTATGCGGGAAGATATTTTATCAGAATCTGCGGTACAAATCTCACTGTAGCATAAAAAATGGGCAGGTACACTGTAGAAAAATGCATCCTACCATTGTACATAGTAACATTTGAATTAAAAAAACCTGTCCAAATTGGTGGCTTGGAGTGACGGGCAGAATTCCTCTGGTGGCGGTAATAAAGAACTTTCGCAGCCTTCTTGACCACGTTGGTTACAATATTCGTTCCTCCCAGCGAGGCCATCACGTCAAATATTCTATGAATAGAGCGAATCATCGTTCTTCAGGGAGGAGAAGGAAGAGAAAAACCCTAAAAATAATTTAAAAAGGTTATGTGCTCCGTACCAGTTAATCGGAAATGAAAAATGTGCTTGTTATTCCTCTTCTTCTTTAATTGTCAGTTTTTTAATCCTACATGGCATGGCATTTTAATGATGAGTCTGCAGAATAATCTTAGGTGGCATGCCACATGGCGTAACGACAATTAAACCGCTCTACTCTATATATATAAGGCTTTCGGCATTGGCCCCCCTCTCTAGACAGTCTATCCAACACATACTCATGTAAAGAAGAAAAAATATTGGTGTCATTCTCAGTGAACATGAAACTTCCATAACATTCAAACAAATATTGGTGTCATTCTCAGTGAACATGAAACCTCTAGAACGTTGAGCATACCAATTGATGACTTCCCATTTAAGGAATTTCCTTTTTTTTATTTCTTCAGTATTATGATCAATTTCATCGATTACACTTTCAATCCAGCCTTCTCAAACCCTAAACCCGTTTGTGAATCAGGTTTCTCCAGTTGGTCTTCTATTTTATATCCCAATTCAAAACACAACCGCAACAGATTCTCATTGGATGGATTTGCCCCAAAAACTTTTAATCAGATTATGTTATTATTATACTTGGATAATCAAAACACATATAGCACCGAAAGATTCATGAAAACAGTAACAAAGAGCAACGAATTGAAAATCATAATTAAATAAATAACTTTAATTAAGAAAAATAATACTAAACTGCGACCATTCCACTTTCTGATGTTGAGTTGAGGCTAGCAAAGGACTCTACTCCTGATGCGTCATGAAGGTGTTTCCAATGGAGAAAAATTTAGCAAAGCAATAGGCTAATATGAATACCTCTGCATCCATTCTTGGATAAAATTAAGATTTGAATCTTGATGATTTGCTAGGACTGATTAGGAATTGAAACTAATAAATTCAGTCAATAACCTGGATGCAGAAAAAGATTGAGGGCAGTGGTTCTGTCAAAAGAAGCAGGTAGTTCGGTCTTCCTCTCCAATCGTCCGAATTCTTCCTAGGGTTTTTTTGGAGTTCCTGCTGCTGCTTCGAAGAGACTCTTCAGCGTTTCACCTTGCTGCCATTTCAGTTTTTCGCTCTCTGCTTCGTAGGGGTTGAGCCTTTCCCCAACATCTGATTATTGATTGGTGGCTTGGAGTGACGGGCAGAATTCCTCTCGTGGCGGTAAGAAAGAACTTTTGCAGCCTTCTTGAGGACGTTGGTTACAATCTCCCACAGAGGCCATCACGTCAAATATTCGATGAATAGATCTCTGGTCTTTCGTCTTCATCAGAGCGAATTATCGTTCTTCAGGGAGAAGGAAGAGTAAAACCCTAAAAATAATTTAAAAAGGTTATGTGCTCCGTACCAGTTAATCGGAAATGAAAAATGCGCTTGGTATTCCTCTTCTTCTTTAATTGTCAATTTTTTAATCCTACATGGCATGGCATTTTTATGATGAGTCAGCAGAATAATCTTAGGTGGCATGCCACATGGCGTAATGACAATTAAACTGCTCTACTTTATATATATAAGGCTTTCGGCTCTGGCCCCCCTCTCTAGACAGTCTATCCAACACATACTCATGTAAAGAAAACAAATATTGGTGTCATTCTCAGTGAACATGAAACTTCCATAACATTCAAACAAATATTGGTGTCATTCTCACTGAACATGAAACCTCTAGAACGTTGAGAAAATACCAATTGATGACTTCCCATTTAAGGAATTTTCTTTTTTTTATTTCTTCAGTATTATGATCAATTTCATCGATTACACTTTCAATCCAGCCTTCTCAACCCTAAACCCGTTTGTGAATCAGGTTTCTCGAGTTGGTCTTCTATTTTATATCCCAATTCAAATCACAGCCGCAACAGATTCTCATTGGATGGATTTGCCAAAAAAACTTTTAATTAGATTATGTTATTATTATACTCGGATAATCAAAACACATATAGCAACTGCAAACTCTCATTTGACATCCAAGTATATTATAGAACTATTAATGTCTTAATAGTTTCATTCGAACTTTAAATAAAGCATTTAAATAATGTATTAAAAGCTTCTAAAAAGACCAGTAGATTCAAGAAAGGAGTGAGAAAAACTGAGAAATAGAAAAATATTACCCATATCTTGAAAGTGTTGAAAGAAC